TGTTGTTGTTCTTGTTGGCTTTAGAGCGGGCTGTCAAAAATCTAATTGGGATTGCATTTAAATTGCATTTGTGTTGCGGTTTGACTAACAGCACGCCCTTGAGTTTTCTGTGGCCTGTTTAGCCATATTTTAGAAACTGATAAAATCACATGTATTTAAATGAACATGATTATAAAAAAGACATTTCGATGCATTAAATAAATTGGACTAATAAATGACTAGCTGACAAATGACAAATGACTAGCTAAAATATCAACTAAAAATATATATTTAATTTAAAAACCTTAACTGAAGGTTGTTAATCTGCTTTCTAGTTATTTTATTTATGTTTATATTGTTGTATATTGTTATGCTTATTAACAGCATATATCCTACTTAAATTATAATAAATCAAAATAATTATAATATCTTAAATAAACGACAGTAGTCGAGTTCTTATTTAGCAATCCCCTCATGCGAATGCCTTTCCAAATATTTAAGGCCTTTGTACATTTAATTATAAGATCCCCCAAAGAAAACTTTGATCTGCAATTTGCCAACTGCTAGCTCTTAGAGAGAACGCAAATGTTTTCAGCTCTGGGACAAGTAATTCTGTTGCAATTATTATGCTTTGATTATTTTGCAATTTGAGTAAATTGTTTGGTCAAATTAAACAAGAATCCAAATTCACAAAGACGCAACAAGAAATGCAGCAGCAAATATCAAGCAACAGGCAAATTTGCTTAAAGCCAATCAAAATAATGGGCAAATACATGAGAAATGCATCAAGTATTGTCGAAAACAGTTTAACAAGAATTATTGCTGACATGCGCACGTACAAGGATTAAGACTTCGATTCGGATTTGGGCTTGGATTTGAATTTTGTGATTTACCAAGGCAAACAACACTCGAGAGCCAATAAAATGATTTAGGAGCGTTACAAAGCGAGAGCTTGTAAAATGCGTTCAACAACATATTTTTGTTTTTGCACTTAATGATTATTCTGTGTACCAGGCGTAACAAATGGGCGGCGTAACAGAAACACAGCTCACATTTTTATTTGATGGCAAAACAAACATATCTACAAATTTTGTTGGATGTTTTTCTTTGTCCGAGCGCAAATAATAGCTTTCAATTTGCTGTCGCATATGTTGCAAAGGCTCCTCAAAGTATGCCATAGAAAATTACAATTTCTTTTGGGTCAAGCCATAGAATTACATTTCATAACGTGGCGCAGCAAGTTTGCGTTGGTTGTGTTTATGATTGGGTTTTTTATTATTTTATTTTCTGTTTTGTGCGCACTGCTTCAAAGTGCCTCTAAAAAACCTGCCACAAACAACTTTTGCAGCTATTTATACTCTACTTTTGCTAATCGAGCATATTGAACATGTGTTCTAGAAATGTAAAAACTATAAAAGTTACAATTAAATCTATGTTAATCTATGGGTTGTACATTGTTGTACCATATTACGGCTTATAAACGCATCTGATTGCGTTTTTCTTATTGACCTATCTTGATTTGGTTCAGTCTTCAGAATAGTTCAACTAAAAATCGATAACTTTTCTAGCTATTAAAGAGCAGAGCATCTAGCAGTCGGATGCACTCGACTACAACCTTCTTTTTCTCACTATACGAGCGTTAAAAATGGTCGAACATAAAAAATAAAAACCCTGTGCTCAGCCATCAAAATTCAATTTGTTTTGGGTGAACATTTTTCGCATTCATTTCGCGCACTCGATAAAGAATCCACCATTACACGATTTGCAGTCCAAGTGCGTTGAAAAAGATAGAGAAAAATAAATCGAATCAAAAACGAAATAAATAATAAAAAAAACCCCAAACGAAAGCTGCGAATATTGCAATAGTTGAAATTTAGCTGACATTTGCTGAGGGTTTTCGAAGTGCTTGCAGCGAGTTTTTTTTTCGAGAGAGTTTGTTGATGTGTATAGATTTTATATTGTGCATAAAATTGAATTCAATTGAATCCGAAAAAGTTTAAAGAGAGTAACGAGAGCTTTAAGAACCATTTAAGCATGAAACAAGAGCTCATACGCTCAGTTAGACAGTTTTGCATTAAAATTATTTCAATTCAATTACTTGGAATAAACAATTATGCGTAATATTTAGAAGCAATGTATGGTATGAAAATGGTATGAAAATGGGATGAAAATGGGATGAAATAGTGAAACATTTATATTATTTTTGTTTTATTATAATAATTTAGGTAGATTTATATTATATTGATAATATGTTTGTACTGATCTTTGATAATGGATAAAGAGAATTATTTGCCACCTCACGTATATAAAGTATATACGTTTATAATATGATTGGTCAGTTTTTTGGATAAAGAGATATTATTTGCCACCTCACGTATATAACGTATATACGTTTATAATATGCTCTGCAAAGCTTAAGCGCGTCGACTTTAAATCGCCACGAGTTTTATAAAGTTGAACTGATGCACGGCTTTTGGCAACAGCAGTGTCAACAACAACGAACAGGAGTATAATAAAAATAACAACAACTATAACAACAACAACGACGAGCAACAACAACTTTATTGACAGCCAAAAAGTCAAAGCTCAGCTAAAATTTTACGCTCTGTCGCATAACGTCGAGCGCCGGCAAAACTGAGTAAAGTTTTTGCCTCAATAAAGTATTTAGCTATACATAACGTTTATTCGCATTTCACATTTTGCTTGGCTCGGATGGAGTTTTCCTTTTTGGACAAGGGTTGCGCTGCTCTGCGAGCTGCCATCTACGTTTCTGTGTTTACTTTTTTCGTATTTTGGCAGCTTCAGTCTGAGTGTTCGGCTCTCTATTTGTCTGTCTGTCTGCGCTGCTGTTGACTTCGTGTTATTATTCCATTTGTCGTTTAGTTTTGTACGAGCGCTTCCTGTTTTGACTGTACAAATGTGCGCCATTATTTATCATTGGACGCCATTATGTTTTATGCTATATAGCCATTGCATTCGCACGGCCCGCCATTTTGGCAGCGGCAACAAAACAAGAATCGCATTCCCAGAGATTTTTCTGTGGACGAGCCAGCGCAGCTGCTTCATCCGGCGGCGGCAGCTGCGACGGCAGCGGCTGCTGCCATGGCAACAAAACGCGGCTACTCAAATCTAAAGGGCGCCATTTTGTTGCCATTTTAGCTGTGTATGTGTGTGCACTTCTCTGTGTGTGTGTGTGCCTTTTGTATAGCCTGCCCTTTAGGCATTTAGCTTGTCTGCAACTCTGTCTCTCTGCCTGCCTTTTAGCCATTTATTTCGTTTCCCTGTCGCTTGTCTCTTCCGATTATTTTGCGGCTACAACCACGCTTTGCGGCATTTCAGCAGCAAAACTGCCGCTGACAGTCTTTTTGAGGGAAAACCTTAGCAGGTTTTCTGCTACTGATTGTTGCCCTTTGTTCTTGCCTTAGTTGACTGCAACATTTGTCGCTATTTGTTTTTTACACAATTTTGTTGCTTTAATTTTTAATTTGTGGCAATTTGTTACATTTTAAATTATACATATAGTAAAACAATCGATAGCTTATAAATATGTTTCAAAAGATTTAGATCTTATTGCAAATGAAGGAACAAATTGCTTTATTCTACATGCTTCAATTAACTATCAATTACTTATCAACAATATTGCTTTTATTAAAAGCATTCCAATTAAACAATAAATATTCGATGTGTTATCAGTTTAACTATCAAACATTCAATTATTCACATCTTAAGCATTAAGCAATATATTATTTTATGACATTTCTCTGATGGCTGAAATGAAAATTGTTACTGCCAATCAGACTGAATCAATCAATCAATCAGTCAATCAATAATTCCGCTCTATTTCCAATTACTTTGCCTTTTGATAAATTGCATTTTTTATGACCGCAAGCCTCGGACACACATATCTATTTTGATCAATACTCCAAATAAAAATAAAAAGAACTAAACGTAAAAAGCACGAATTTATTGTGGGAGGAAAATAGTTGGCAAGTTTTAGAGAGCGGCTAATATAACTCGAATTGTTGTTGTTGTTGCTTAGATGAATAAAAATGAAAAGAAACAAAACCTGGCCACGCCTTTTCGCCTACTGCAGTCGCAAGGAGTGAGAGCAAAATCCTTGAGCGTTTGCATTGCGCCGTGTTTCCATTTGTATTGCCTGCGTTCGCACATCCGTTTTGGCAAACGCCGCAGTAATAACTCATGGCGCAAATTGCGTTTATTACAATATAACGTAACGGCCAGTGAAACAAACAGAAACAGACGGCCGGACGGACGGATAGACGGACGGGCGGGCGAACAGGCCTAGCCGGAGCCCCGAGGCTCGGCTCAGTTGCCCTGTGCACCCTGTGGCATGTTGATTTGCAATGCAAAAAGGGTTGTGCATGTGCGTGTTTGTGTGTGTGTGTGTAAGTGGCAGGGGGGCGTGTTTGTAGTTGCGCCGCGGCCATTTCAACTAGACTTTTCTTCCGTGGCGGCAGTTATTTATCACAGTTAGCTGCGACTGAAAATTGCGATGCCCGTGATTTGTGTGGGCGACGCGTCGTTTGTTTGGCCAACGGCAGCAGCAACAGCAACAGCAACAACAAAAGGAACAACAGCAAGCGAACAAGCCACATAACAGCACACAACACGTCATGGTCTAATTAGCAGGGCACGCCAAAACGAGCCAGATGAAGTTATATTACCACAGTCCAGCACAGTGCTGGCTAAAAGTGAACGCACAGCAGCGTCTTTACACGTGATTGGCGCTGCAGCAGACACAAATCACGAGCAGCATAACGAACGACAGGCCACGCCCACAACGCCCAATGAAAATTGTGCGTGACATTTGCGCCACTTGATCCATGAAATTGTTACATGTCAATGATTTTGGTTTTGATTTTCATTTTGCCACATGCCGCACGCTAATAAAATTAGTGGCATGCAAATCGTTAGCGGATACGCTTGCCCCTAATTTCGGGTCTATTTTTGATTTTTCAATTTATTGACTTATGATAGGTATATAAATATTTTGAACTCACATTTAAATAGATTTCCTGTTGGCCACAAAATGCACGTGCAAAGGCTGCAAAGAATTCAATTTAAATCTATAATTAAGTTTTATAATGTGTCAATAACATTTCATGTGCGATTAATGGCCGTCAATAAATACTTAAACATATAGAACGGGGTGGAAAAAAGCACATTAAATTCAATTAATGACAGCGCATGTTAATTGATCATATAATTATTTGAATGCCAGAGCTTAATGTTCAATAACCCTAGAGTATAATAATCTGGTCATAAACTAGTTAGAGGTCGACGGCATAATGTCTGTATATTGTATATATAAGACTAGCGGATATACTCCGGCTTAGTCGTGTAAAATAAATTCTCTCAAAGATCTTTGAAAATGAAAATAAAGGTTAAACCATGAACAAAAAGCAAAACCTTTTGAAAATCGGTTGAGGTTTGACCGAGTTATGAGGGTGGGAAATTTTGACGTACCTATATGGGATATTTGAGGGTACCATTTTCACATGAATTTTGACCAAAAATAATGTTCCCAGACTTAGATGCCAAATTGATCTAGAGGTCAAACCATGAACGAAAATTCCAACTTCATGAAAATCGGTTGAGTTTTGACCGAGTTATGGGGGTGGGAAATTTTGACCCATGACTATATAGGATATTTGAGGTTACCATTTTCACATGAATTTTGACCAAAAATAATGTTGCCAGATTTAGATGCCAAATTGATCTAAAGGCCAAACCGTAAACAAAAATGCAAACTTTATGAAAATCGGTTGAGTTTTGACCGAGTTATGAGGGAGGGAAATATTGACCCATGTCTATATAGGATAATACCCCGGTCTTACTAGTTTAATTTGAATACCTTTTTCTCAGAAATATTTTCACTACACAAACATTTTTGATATTGATTTATCAGCATATTTATAATTTATCTCTCTGTGGTATTTTAATTATAACCATATTGAGTTTAATTTCATAAAAGTTATTGCCAATGGCTCTCATTTGCGCTCAAAATTACAGCGAATTACCAAAATCTGTGGCGTGCCTAATATTGAATTTAATTTGCGTTTTGCAAATATTTGCAGCAATAGTTTTTTCTACTTTAATATTAAACTAGCAAAAATTAGTGTTAAAAAACGGCAAAGATAATATATTTAGCACACTTTTTTAACGGTCTATTGCGGGGGGATATTTATCGTCGAAGCGCGAATGCAGAACGGACAATTCCAATTCGTTTTTTTAATTTTTTAGTCTTTTCGGTTTTTGTGCGCTTTCGAACACTGAGCACACAGGACACAAATCAAACAGCAGGTGGACTTTGAGCAGCGCGGCTCGCCGGTTGCCATTTTGTGCTCTCATTGCAAATACAAATTGTTCGAGGGGTTACGGGCAAAAAAAAAAATTAAAATTGGGTGGAAAAACTTTCACATTGTTGGAATCTTCAAAATAAAAAACTGAATGCATGCTGCGGACTTCGAGGTAAAATTTGTTTTTGCCAACCTGAAGTTGTGCTGCGCTCCCCAAAGTTGCTGCCCCTGCACCCCGCCACGCCCTGCAGGCGCACTTTGCACATGCGGTGCTCACACTATGGGCACACAGTGGCTACCAAAAGCAGACAGCCAGCGCCCCCCCTTGAACGTTTACTCATTAAAATGCAAAATGCTCGCGCGCTGTGCTACTGTTGGGGCTGGTGGGGGCTGTTGGAGGTGGTGGTGGTGGTGGTGGTGCTGCTGCTGCTGGCTGCTGTGCATTTGGTGGTTACAACAACAACAACAACAATAACAGCAATAAAAAGAGCAGCGGCAAAAATCGGATAGTGTTTGGGTCGCTGGAACTGGGCGCTTGAATGACAACATACCAACTGGGCATTGCGTGTAAATTGCTGCGCCATTGTGCGGTTTCAGCTTTATTGAATGGAAAGTGCGTGTCAGATGGTCCAAACAACAACAACAACAACAACAGCAACAACAGGCATCGTTTTACATGGCTTAATGCTCCAAGCGTTGTCATTTGCTGTTTTTGTCCAGCATGAAAACATTTAAATTTGGAATATTTTCTTTTAATTTGAGCAATTTTCCCACGCTCATTTAAACATTTAGTTAATGGCCGGCTCTTAGCCAAATGGGCGTGGCACTCTGATAATGCCATCTCTTTAGTATGCAGCACATGCGAAACACAAATCAGCAACAACATCGGCATCCGCATCCGCATCGGCATCGGCATCGGCATCAAATGGCATCAACTGGCAGCCACTTGAAATACTTGCGGCAACACGTTCAACAATTTTCATAGCATACTTTTCTGCGCCTTGCTTTGCCCCATTTGGTTTGGGGGGATGAAGAAAATGCGGAGCTCTGGCTCAGCTCATATAGCTTATGAGCAGCACTTATTAGGGATATTATTGGATCTCATTATAAGCTGCTGTTTGGCATTGAAATGCATTATTAAATGCGCACTAAAACCATAATAAGTTTTCTGCTGCTTGGGGTAAGAATTTCATGGGGTGTTGCTCAAGGGGCAGCTCACAATGTGCAAAGATTGATTTATGCGGCCAGACAATCTGAAATTGTAGTTGATGTCTATATACTCTGTAAGGCTTAAGCTGTAGAGAGGCATAATTGCGGCAAATGATGAGTAAGTCTCATTGAGAGCCGAGTTACTTTTAGTGGCAACTGTTTTATGAAATAATAAAACATGCAAGAGGGCAGCATTAAACTAGGACTTGCTTTAAGGCAATCTTAGACTTATCTATACTATTTAAAGTATTGAAAAAAATATATAATATTTAAAAATATTACCAAGACAGTTCGTTTTCCTAATCAAAGTTTTGACAGTAACAAAAATTGTTGAATTTCTGCAGAAAATTTCAGTAATCAGTGTTCTTCAAGGAGTTAGATTAATAAATTATTATAAAATTTATTATTAATATAGTTGCAAAAATCAATTTGTTAGCTGTGATACTTAATTCACAGTTGGCAAACAGCTAAATACGCTTGACTAGCTGCTGGCCATTAATTAAATGCAATTCAGCTTGGCCCAAAACACAATTCACAACAACAATTGCAATGCAGCAAATGTTGCAAATGTTGCAAATCTTTATCAGAGACTTTTACAGCTGAATGCACTTTCTATGACATTTGTCTTGGCAAAGCGAATGGAAAGTTATGAAGAGGAATTCAACTTAAAGCACTTGCAAGCACAGCCTCTTAAAACGTAATCTTTGCTAGCTTTAGCCGAACAGAGAGCTCAGCTCACTCATCAATCTGGGCGAGGAGAGCACAAAAAAAAAGGTAGAGAAACTAATGTGAGCACGGCAATATGCCGTGCCGGAGGCCTTAATGACTGACGAGGCCAGAGACTCACCTGCTGCCATTGGTCTGATTGGTATGCAGGTGGCCGCCGGCTGTGCCTGTCTGCTGCTGCTGCCTCTGAAAATTGCAATCAAGTCAGAGTCAGAGCGCACACAATCGCCATCAAACTCAATCAGGCTTCGTGCCTGATGGCAGGATAACAGCCGCAGCCCCAGCCCCAGTTCCAGTCCCAGCCCCAGTTTTCAGTTCCAGCCAGATAAAGCACTGTAGCTGGTAGTCCATGGCTAAGCCACCTTTCCGCCAGCGTAAAGAAAATTTCATTAATTTTCGCTTAATGTCTGCCATGTGCGCAATTTCCCTTCACGCGGAGGGAGACGGGGGCAGGCCCGACAGCTATTGCCGTTGCATGCAAACTTGGCCTGAGGTGTAGATACAGCCAAACGTTGGATTGAAGAGTATATTAAGCAGATTTTCGAAACGAACACAAATTAGCGTTTTTCTGGCTCTACTCGATTTGTAGTGGGAAAAATGGTTTATAAATGGGATAAATGATTTCAACATATATTTAAAACTATTTATATAACGCATAACCTTTATTGATCGTGGATTTGTTTGCCTTTATTAAACGCACAATTGATCTGTATCTGCCAATATATTAAGCTATATCTCGAGAGCGGAAGCTGTGTTTATTATATTATTTAATTAATATCCTTTATTGATGCTGCATTTGTTATGCCTTAAAGCACATTTGATCTTTATTCTCCAACATATTGCGCTTCTTCTCTAGAGCGGAAGCTGTGATCCCACCAATGGTAAAAATATTTATATAACTATCCCTTATTGATCGTGGATTTGTTGTGCCTAAATTAAAACCAAATTTATCTATATTTCACTTCTTCTCGACAGCAAACGCTGTGCTCCTCTCTGAATAGAATTCTACTTTAAAGATTTCTTAATATTAAATAATTCCCTCTATTTTTATAGCTCACTTTTCAAGCGCATTTTCTTCGTACATTTTTCTTAGATTCTGTTGCAATTATATTTGCTTTCGTGCTGGCCTGCATTTGCTTGGCAACGTAAATGGGCGCCCAGCTCGACCCCGTTTGGGTGTCTTCCGAGTTGTCTGCGTAAATTTTAATTGACTCTTCGCTCGGCTGGGCTGCTAAGAGTTTTTCCAACTTCTTTACGCGCGCTGCGCTAATTAATTTATTAATGTTGGTTATTTTTTATTATTATTTGTTTTTATTTTTTTTTCGCGCTGCTTCGCTGAAATTGCCAATTAAATAGACCGTCGTTAGCCTGCAAAACAGTCTACGAGTCGGGGACCAAAATGATGGCCAGCTTATGCTTTATGGCTGGCCATCAATGTGGCCAAAAGAGCTGCAAAGCTGGCCAAAGCGAACGAATGCTGCTGCTGCTGCGTTTTAAATTGCGAGCTTTATTTGTCAGAAGCATCGAAGGAGAGAGAGACAGAGAGTAATGTGACACCTACTAAAGTAAAAGTCTTAATAGCAGCAACAGCAGCAGCATCCGCAACAGCCACAGAAGCCATAACATTATCTTTATCTGAAACTGCCAATTTGCTGCCGTCACAGGCTGCGAGGCGTGGCAGCTCACAAACCAGGCCTCACAAACCGACAACGACAACTCTATGCCCACAGTCTCGGCTGTCTGGTGTCTAGATGCACACAGTTTTTGCGCCTCGGCTGTCGCATAATTTTGCATTCAAAAGCAGCGCCAG